CATCCCGTAATGTAATGTAATGTAATGTAATGTAATGTAATGTAATGTAATGTAATGTAATGTAGTGTGTAATATTATTTTCTAGGTCTGGATGAAAGCACTGCTCGGCGTAATTTTCTAGTTGAAATGTCTAAATTATCAGAGTACGGCATGGAGATCCACTCGGCATGGGCGTTTAACAGAGACAAAGACCCAGTAGAAATATGTATCAAGGAAGATTGTGTGAAAATAATGGGAAGTAATGGAACGACAGTTTTACAAAAGTAAGAATGACATTTTCGAAAAAAACAAAAACAATTTGGTTATACGTAATTCGAACTCGCTACATGACGACCAACGCCCGTGACGTAGTGTTGATATGTTACATTTCACTAGTATCTGTTATACCTCTTATACGAGATCGTCCCGTTGGTTGGACAGAACGCGGTCACGTGTCGGTCAATATAACTCATTATTGACTCGGATTCAATGGAAATCCGGTGACCTCGATTTGGTTTTTGCAAATGCCCAGTGGCTTACAAAAAATATTCAAGACCCCAAGTTCGATTATGTTGTATTCGGTATCAACATAGACCCTAGGGTCTATGGTATAATAAAACTTATAGTTACCGTATCGTTCAATATTCAGTTTTATTGACCGTCAGAATAATTATTGACCTCGGCTGCGCCTAGTTCAATAATCATGTCCTCTTGAGATCCACTTTGGTAACTATTTGTTTACTGTTTACCCGACTTGAATATTCATGGTTCGATTTCGTCTTTGAATTGTTCTACCGTCGAGAATAGCACTAAACAGTGGCCAATATGTAATCTCATATATTTGTTAAAGTGTAATTTCCCCCATTTCAGTTATTCTTTCAACAACATACGACGGGTAACCTGTCAGAACAAACATCTCGTGTTGGAAGTGTGCAGAGATAGCGTTGCCAAGACAACAGAAAAACGACGTTATCAGATGCGGAGTAAAGTGGCTGCCATGGCAGCATATCGCTGTTTCATAGAGTATTTCACTTTTTACCGACGAACCTCTGTGGAAGAATGGATATTGAAGTCAGGTATGCAATATTTTTTTTAACAGTCTTTCAACAATTAAACTGTTTTCTTTTCAATTTCCTTACTGCTTGCGCTAAGTTTTCTCAGTATTGTATTAACTGTTATTTTTTTTTTTTATAAATTTCAGGATCCAAAGACAGAGTATTCTCCAGTATTCTATCTCGACTGCGTCAAGACAGCGTAATTTATAACTTTGACGTCACTCTTACCCAGCATGAGGTCATTGATAAGGTCAAACGTCAGCTAGAACAGCGTCGTGATGATGTCGTATTGACTCCCGTGGGGACACAGGAACAGAGTGACATCCGCAGGTACGTGCAATATAACTTGTACGTATGCATGTATCGGACGGTTACATAAACATATTATAATAATCACGTATGCAACGTTAACGTAAAAATGTTCGCGTGTTCGAATTTCATGTAAATAAACAATGTATTTTACACGGTTGTATACGTCGCTATGAGTCCCATATTGAACAGGACGCGGCACGACGACTGCCGCCCTTTAAACAGGTTCACTGAATGTGTCGACTCGTGTTTCAGTTCGGGGTAAACAAGTTTTTTTTTATTAATTTAAACTTTTCCAGGTACGAGCGACGAACAGAGCGTATGAGTGTTAAGGCTGGATTTCATGAACCTACTCGTCGACAATTACGTCACCAACGGTGTCGTCAAAGAAATCATCGAAGAGAGGCCGAGAGAAGGGTTATGCTACAAAACAACAACGCCGTTGATGATGAACAAGCACGTAATTTGGGAACATACCGCAGAGGGCGCAGTTTATCAGAAGGGAATCTCTTGCAAGCCGTCGACTCGGAAAATGACGAAAACTCAAATCTACGGCAGGAATTTAGCCAGGGTGACCGCGTACGGCGCTGTACATCAACGGCAGATTTGCTGGATCATATTGACGACGAACTTTTGAGTTACACGCCGGCGATTGACACGAGACACCGATCGCAAAGTTCAGTGTTGAGGCGAGAACTCCGTAACATACACGAGTCATTGGTGTGTAAAATATGTATGGATGAAAAAATGAACACAACGTTTTGTCCGTGTGGTCACATGGTGTGCTGCAGTACGTGTGCCGGACAGTGCTCTGAGTGTCCCATATGTAGAATGAAAATCGAAAGAATACAAACTGTGTATATGCAATAAACTCAGATACATTCATCTATTATAGATAAACACTATTCGGATCATCAATTTAATTTTACTGGCAAAATTTCATTAGCTAAAAACTAAATTAGTGGAAACCAGAATGAATGAATTCTTACTGCTTTGCGAGAAAAAAATCTCTGATGCGTAGGCCGGGAATCGAACCCGGGACTAAAGCTTGGAAGGCTTCAATGCTAACCACTACACCACCTACGCGACCTATCTATTCAGCTCGAAAATGATGAAATGATTGACGTTTGCGAATCATATCAGAAATGTTGAAAGATAATTCTTTTCCCCTTTGTGCTACAATAGTCCTACCATGTCGTGCTTGTTGTGGGTACCATGTTTACCACTTGCACCTATGTTTAAATTTAGCAAAGTTAATTACTCCAGTTTCATTGTAGTCATTCTGGTTATTAATATTATGACATGATTTCCCTAATAATAAATATTTATAATTAATAATAAATAAGTTTTTAACGTTTGTGATGACTCCTTATTATGTTTATAAAAAAAAAAATGTTGTTGTTGTAACCTGTTTAGCGCATACTGTATGTATTACACATGTCACGTTTATTTACAAAATATATTAACAAATTAAGATATATTAACAAAATAATTGCGCTTAGTTGACGTCAAATGACGTAGAATTCTGTAACTGCAGGTGGGAACAATAACAACGCCGTGAATTGGCTGGATCATGGCACGCCTCCTACTTGCCATTCGCAAAGGATGCCGGGAACCGGCGAATCAAGGCATCATATTACACAATAAATGACTAACTTTACAAACTGTCTAGGAGCGTTGTGTTTTATGGCTGTTAGGCGCGGAGTCCGTTCAAGTCAGAAATAGTATTGGAATATTCACCCGAAAACAAGACAAACGGAGCTGCTCGAACATTTCTTGAGTGAAGTCAGTGTTTAGTGTTTCTTTGTCATAAACATGCCTAAACAGAACATTCCACAGTTTTAGTGTATTACGTGCCTTATTTCATTCCGTTTCACCTCACACAACGTAGCCCTCGATAAAATTGCTCGTATTTACGTTTCTACAGAAGTCGGACATCATGATTAATACATAGTTTGATTGTTACAAAGATTTTTGTTTACTTTTTGTAGTACGTTCCCTGGTAAAATAGATGCGAAAAAATTACCGTGTGTGGTAAAAATGAAAGCTGCCTGTAGCAGAAGTAAATATTGACCCTTGGGAAGAAGGTTGTGACGTCGAACGTAATTACGTCGAACAAACGCGTCACTGTTACAGGACGCTAATTAAAGCGGGAGAGTCGTCACCTGCGCATGCGTAAGATGGCCATAGCGTGTCATTGTTTATAAGCAAGCGTCTACCCATGAGCCTTTGCATTTTTAGCGTGTGTTGCGGGTGTATTGTTATCATCGCTTGTGCCCGCGCGTGCGCAGGTGACGACCCTCCAGTCTTAAATGAACAGTCTCATTCCTGGGGTA